GATGCCATAATGTTAGTAACAATTCAAAAAGCTCAAATGGTATGATCGACTCACAATTGCTGTCTTTGTTCGGCCATCATCGGTGCATTTAGAAATTTTACTTCCATAATTTGAACGAAGGTATGAAGACCGAGATGGTGCGGCATTTTCTATGGTCATAGTCTTCTTTCGTTATTTGACCTGGTTTTCTCAACTTGGCCATATTGGCATGAAGACCTAGAGGAACGCACCTAGTCCGGAGTCCATAGTATGCATGATCATTTCCAGAGCGGGACAGTGGTCTGTATCAAATCCACGGTCCTCTAGGTCCTTCTGCCAATATGACAAATAGGAGGCCACGGTAAATTTGCCAAAATGGAACACATTTTGACGAGAGGATTATAAAAAAGTCAGAAGTTTTAATAGGATGAAGACGATACAATACGCTAGGAAATAGACAGATGGGGCAGGACAGGAAGAGGAGTGATAGCACAGCCGTTTCGGCAGAAAGTTGGTCAAGGGATTGATTTCACCTGTCTCGGTAACTTGGTGTAGTTTGGTGTTGAGAAATGGCAAGGCTCACTGACGATGCCGATTACGATGCCGGCTAAATGTCTGCGAATGTACCAAGTCCACGATCCGAATCTGAAAATTATCATGCATACTATGGAATCCGGTCTAGGTGCATTGCTCTAGAGCCTCCTGCTAATATGACCAAGTTTCGAAAACAAGGACAAGTAACTTTTAGAAAACTGTTCTAGGCTCACGGTCTTGTGACTGTCTTCCCAGGCAATTATTCTAAGATTATCAATGAGACGAGTTCAAATACTCCTTCCAAATAACTGTTCCTACGAAATACATAGTTGTCACCACCTTTTAAATGCTTTTTCTACAATTTGCCATGGTTTCACTATAATTTTTGGCTTTCCTAATTGCGATTTGCTCATCGCCTATTCTTTGCTTCCTTCACCCTCTCTCAGACGGAAGAATTTGAGGATTTAGAAGCAAATTTAACCAATGGGCAGTCTGTCGATTGCCTCTTTTCTCCGACACATATCTCACCCGGCAACAGCTCTGCCCTTTCCGCCTCTGGAGTTGCTGGATTGCCGTCGAGCGCGGTTGTGGCGGCCGGTTCCGTGGCTGGTTTTCCCGGTCCTGCAGGTATGTTGCGAAGCGCCTCATCAATGGGCTATTTGGCGCAGGCGCATCTGCATCGTGTGTCTGGGCATAGTGGAGGCATGCCGTCCGGAGGGTTGGTGGCGGATGACATCATACATGGACGGGACCTGGAGGACGAGGAAGAAGAGGAGGATTTGGTGGAGGAGGAGGTAGAGGGAGAGGAGGAAGAGGGATATAATGAAGACTTTGAGGCGATGGACAGGAGAGACGGGAGAAGTGGCAACGATGCAGACGAGGAGGGGCATTTTTGTGAGGAAGATGAAGAGGAGGATGGCGCCGAAGAGGAGGAGGATGAGGAAGCGGATGAAGATGAAGATGAGGATCTGAATGCCGAGTACGACGGAGACGAAGGAGAGAGTGAGTTTGGTCAGTTAGTCGAAGAGGCTGTCGATGGCTGTATTGAGGGGGGCAAGCAGACGTCAGAGATCATCTCAAGCCCCAGAACGGCCGGACCTAAGGCAGCGAGAATGGAGCATGATGGGCAGAAGTAGGAGCAGGAGCGAGGGTAGATGCCATCGTCTTGATGTGAAGCAGGCCAATCGACCCATTGATGGGACAGCAAGAAGCCAAACGGTTGGATTGGGTGGGTACGATGCAATTCGCAATCTTGTGTGATTTGGGTGTGAACTTTGATTAGCTGAATATGGGCAAATTGAAGCATCCTTTTTCTCCCACCAAATTGGTCAACTGCGTTCAATTTCTGGCCAATAAAGCTGCTGCCTTAATCTCTCTGAGGCGGTTTATAAAATAGATACATGCTGACGACATGTTCGGTCGCACAAGCATACATGTTTGACTGCTAGCCCTTTGAGGTAGATAGATGTGTGTGTGTGTATGTGTGTGTGTGTGTGAATGATGGCATCCTTGCTTTCGCTTTTTTCTTTTTCTCCCACTTTTACTTTCTTGTTTACTTCTCCTAATATATACATAGAAACCCTCATGTTTTACCTTTATGTTGGGGTGTTAAAAAACTGTCGTTTCACCATCTCTAAAATCCGGCTTCACTGGCGTAGTCTCCTTACTCCCTTCATTTTATCCTCAGGAAAGTCATCTTCACATCTCACAGTCTAGATACAAATCCTTAATCCAACCCACCAGGTTGATAGCCCCTTTAGCCCCACTTTCCCAAAGCTAAACATTCTTGTCTCCAATATCCAGGTCTACATCATGCTCTTTAGTATCCCACGTCTACTCTCATTGAGGACAACTCGATCTAACCAAACCAAGCCTTGGTTGCAGTGTCTCCCTCTTTATGCCTATCAAAGGTCTGGGCTTTGGTTACCTCAATCTCCCACCCTGTTGCTTACGTCATTGGTGGACACGCAAATTTCTTATATTTCCTTTCCCGCTCCATTTTATCCCATCACTTTGCCTCTTGTTGCCATCAACATTCAGTTCATTCCCGAGTCCAGATGG